AAAAGTTATTTAAATGGAATGCTCCTCTTTGTTCATTCCCTATCCTTGCTATTGGCCATACAATCCAATGAGACCCCTCAACTTAAAAATTCAGGGTCATCTTTGATTCCTCTGCTGATGTGATCCAAAACATTGTAACATATCCTTGGTCTCATCCTCACTGAATTAGTGGGAGGGTCCCAGCACATAGTATAATATATTGTAGGCAGCTTCTCTCTTCCCTTGTGAAATGAGTTCTTCCATCAAAGCTTTCCATGACATACCCTCTTCTCCTCCTCTCTGGATGCTACTAAGGCTCTCTCATCTCTTCTGGTAGTCCTTCTCTTCTTTCTTCTAAGCCTCTTCTAGAGGAAAGTGTACAAGACAACACATCTTATATCTTTGCTTTTACCACATTGCTCTATTTTTTTTTTCTTTTATGCTTCTTTTCTAGAGGCAGCATGTGCAGTGGAAGGAATATGAGTTTGGGACTCAGCCAGAATATAGACTGTGCTCTGTCACTTATTAACTTGTGCACTGCAATATTAATAAATGTCTCCCATCGGTAAAGGGGAGATCGCATCACCTATCTTGAAGGGCTGATATAAGGATTCAATACTATATGGAATGTAATGTTCAGGTTCTGCACACTCAGCAGCTCTCAAACCCTTCATATTCCCATTAGTAGATAGGAAGACAAGAGATCTGTCCCCTGTTCTCCATCTCTTCCATCTCAAAGGCTCTGTGTGGTATTTACTGAGTGTCTCTGGCAGAAGCTCATTATTCTCCTCACCTTCTCACCAGTGGTTGCTCCTTTTTTACCAGAATGCATCTCAAACACAGATGACTAAGTACTAGGTAAGGAAAGAATTTTTATTTTCATTTTTTTAAATGAAGAAACCAAAGTTCACAGAAGTTACATGATTGGCTCAAAATACATACTTAAAAGATAATTTTGAGAAATTGTCCTTGGGAGAAATGTCCATAGATATAATAACATGCTTCGGTAATATCCCTCAGAGAAAGATTTCCACTAGTCCTTTTGTACTTTTCAGTTTAGTTAATGACTGGGCTCTGAGGCTGTCATAAGAATGTGTGAGAAGAACTTCTATAGTTCCACTATCCTTTCGCCAGGCTGCACCAGCTTTATCCATTTCAGACTGATGGGAGTACATCCTATTTAAAATGTGATCTAGATGGAAAAACTAAGAATTTCTCCTTGGATGGACCATTCCAGTGTCAAACTTTCCTGACTTACAGGCCTCTAAAACAATTCTCCTTTGAATAAAAACAGGGGACAGATTATTTTCTAAGTGACACAGAAATCAAGAGCCTGAGCATTAGTTTCAGACAGAACTGGATTCAAATTTCACCTTTGTCCTTTGCTATTCATTAGCTGTGTAACCTTCAAAGAGTTACTGAACATCTTTAAACCAGGAACTTTAATACCTACTCCTAAATTTACTCTGAATATTAAATTAGGTTCATATTTGTAAAACACTTTTCAGCACTTGGCTCAGTGTAAGTGACAAAAAAGTGGCAGCGAATGCAAAGGAACCACATGCTCCTTGAACAGATTTTATATTTATTACTGCAATAATGAAACAAAACAAAAGAAACACTGCTGCAATGATCACCAAACAGTTGTATGCAGTTACAACATATAATAATCTCTGAATAGTGATGACCACAGTTTGTCTCTTTTCATATTCCTTTTCCTTTTTGCTTCCAGGATGTAACATTGTTCTAATCTTTAATTTGCCAAAGAATTTAAGTGATCTGAAGAAAATAGTCAGTGTCTGCTTCTGTTTGTCTGTCATTAAATCTGTATTGCAAGAAAAAGAAATTATTTTTCCAGGTGTCCTCTTTTGGTTGTTTCCTTGATTTACATAAAAATGATGTCCTATCCTTGTCCCTCTTTTCCCCCAAATGAGGAGGACAATGAAGATCTGAAGTGCCAGCTGCAGTTCGTTAAGGAAGAAGCCGCTTTGATGAGAAAGAAAATGGCCAAGATTGATAAAGAAAAGGACAGATTTGAACACGAGCTTCAGAAGTACAGATCCTTTTATGGGGATCTGGACAGTCCTTTGCCCAAAGGAGAAGCTGGAGGCCCTCCCAGCACCAGGGAGGCCGAGCTCAAGCTACGGCTAAGGCTGGTGGAGGAAGAAGCCAACATCCTGGGCAGGAAAATCGTCGAACTGGAGGTGGAGAACAGAGGCCTGAAGGCGGAACTGGACGACCTTAGGGGTGATGATTTCAACGGCTCGGCCAACCCGCTCATGAGGGAGCAGAGCGAATCCCTGTCAGAGCTGCGGCAGCACCTGCAGCTGGTGGAAGACGAGACGGAGCTGCTGCGGAGGAACGTGGCCGACCTGGAGGAGCAGAACAAGCGCATCACTGCGGAGCTCAACAAGTACAAGTACAAGTCCGGCGGTCACGACAGCGCGCGGCACCACGACAACGCCAAGACCGAGGCCCTGCAGGAGGAGCTGAAGGCAGCGCGCCTGCAGATCAACGAGCTCAGCGGCAAGGTCATGCAGCTGCAGTACGAGAATCGCGTGCTTATGTCCAACATGCAGCGCTACGACCTGGCCTCGCACCTGGGCATCCGCGGCAGCCCCCGCGACAGCGACGCTGAGAGCGACGCAGGCAAGAAGGAGAGCGACGACGACTCGCGGCCGCCGCACCGCAAGCGCGAAGGGCCCATCGGCGGCGAGAGCGACTCGGAGGAGGTGCGCAACATCCGCTGCCTCACGCCCACGCGCTCCTTCTACCCGGCGCCCGGGCCTTGGCCCAAGAGCTTCTCCGATCGGCAGCAGATGAAGGACATCCGGTCGGAGGCCGAGCGCCTGGGCAAGACCATCGACCGGCTCATCGCCGACACGAGCACCATCATCACCGAGGCGCGCATCTACGTGGCCAACGGGGACCTGTTCGGACTCATGGACGAGGAGGACGACGGCAGCCGCATCCGCGAGCACGAGCTGCTCTACCGTATCAACGCGCAGATGAAGGCCTTCCGCAAGGAGCTGCAGACCTTCATCGACCGCCTCGAGGTGCCCAAGTCTGCGGACGACCGCGGCGCCGAGGAGCCCATTTCCGTGAGTCAGGTACAGTTCTGCCTATTGCGAGCCACGGCGGTGGCCAGGCTGGCCCGCGGAGCCGCGTCCCAGGGGGGCGTCTCGGCGCCCGGACTGCCGCGCCCCGCTTGAGGGAAGCACCCGCTCAGGGCCGCAGTGGGGCCTGAAACCCCCAGCCGGCCCACCCGTTCTTCCACACTGTCCTGCAGGGATGAGGTTTTTGTGACTCCATCATGTAGTCACCATTTCTTCCTGTGTTTTGTTTAAAAGGAAAAGTTAACACCATTCATCACCCTCAATTTTTGTGGAAAGAGTAAAGGATTTTGAGATTTTGAGGCACAGTATTATTTTAGAAGGTCAATATTTTTCTGTTACTCTGCTAGCAGATGAACTGCAAGATGGTCCTGAATAGGAATATTTAGCTGCTGATTTGTGGTTTTCGAGTCAAGATCCATATTGAGTTTAGGATTTTTAAAAAAATGACTAGACTGGTAGACCGAGGAGGGCGGATCGCTTGAGCTCAGGAGTTTGAGTCCAGCCTGGTCAGCAAGGCGAGATTCGTCTCTCCAAAACACAAAAAATTAGCCGGTTGTGGTGGCATGCACCTGTAATCCAAGCTACTCCGGAGGCTGAAGTGGGAGGATCTCCTGAGCCCAGGCAGGTGGAGACTGCAGTGAGTGGTGATTGCACTAGTGCACTCCAGCCTGGGCAAGAGTGAAACCTTGTCTCAAAAGAAAGAAAAAAGCTAAAACAGAATTGATGGCCGGTCACTGTGGCTCATGCCTGTAATCCCAGAGGCTGAGGAGGGCGGGAGGTCAGGAGTTGGAGACCAGCCTGGCCAACATGGTGAAACCCCGTGTATACTAAAAATACAAAAATTAGCCTGGTGTGGTGGCGCACTCCTGTAATCCCAGCTACTCGGAAGGCTGAAGCAGGAGAATCGCTTGAACCCGGGAGAGGAAGGTTGCAGTGAGCCAAGATTGCACCACTGCACTCTAGCCTTGGTGACAGAGGGAGACTCTGTCTCAATTTAAAAAAAAAAATTAATTTAATTAAATAGAACTGATGGATAACTGTTGGTAAATGTAGAAACCAGTGGTAAAGGGACATGATTTTGTGTCTGCAGCCCCCTGAAAGGAACAAATGAAAGCCACTTTTTTTTTTTTTTACCATAAGTTTAAATAACATGATCATTATTTCCAGAGAAAAATCACTCTCAGTTGTATAGTGGAGAATCTCAGTACTGGGGAAGGAGTCTATACGGTAGCTTGAAGGCAACACTAATTCAGAGAAATAGTAATAACTATTCCAGAACAGGGAAAACCAGCATTTTTCCTCCATCCTGATTTGTAGAGGCACACCGGATGAATTGGACTGAGCTGCTTTGGCCAGGTATGGTGGCCATTTAAAGACCAATGCATTTTATCAGAGTTAACCACATGAAAGATAATTTATGAAACAAAACAGGCAATGCTGTTTCCTCTGGCAAGCCTGGTGTCCTGTATCCATTGGAGAACCCACGGAAGTACAACAGCATGCATGGCTTTTAAGACACGCAAGACATTTAAAAGCCAGTTTATGTACAGAAGCATGATTTTAGATTAACTGCCTGTTGGTACAGCTAGAAAAATTGCAACCCTATCGCTTATTTATCTTGCATGTTGCTCTGCTTTGCTATGAAAAATACTGTTTTATGATAAAACTTGTTGAATTTTGATATGTATTCAATTATACCCTCAGGGAAAATAATAGAAATTAGAGTGAGAGAAAGTGCTGTGTATAAAATTAGGCTTTCAGATTTTATAGATATAGGCTTAAGGGAGGGTGGGGGTTCTTTTGTATCTTAAGTTGAATGAATGCTTAAATTAGTTGATATGAATTTAAGTTTTAAAGATTATTATTAATTAACTCTTCTCTTTGTCTTTGCATTTACCTTCCCAGATGTTCCAGCCTATCATTTTACTTATTCTCATTCTTGTATTATTTTCATCACTTTCTTACACAACAATATTTAAACTTGTCTTCCTTTTTACACTGTTTTTTGTACTGTAAATTTTTCACCATCTACCATTCATTGTAGTATTTTCAGTTTGTTTATTTTGTTCACCCTTCAAGACAAGAAGTAAAAGAAGTATAATTTCTGTAGTAACCAATGCTATAAAAACACTGAAGACTGCTTATTTCTTTAAAAAGACACAACTCATCTTACCACGACCAAATTCAATAAGAAGCCCAAGCACTAAAATATTTCAGGTAAGAAAGTAAGTGTGACATTTTTCTGTATGAATTGTTTTAATTTTGCTGCTTTTTCATCCTGTTTGTCTCCTCTTGATAAATAATTGGCATATTGAATATAAAAATGGACTACATGTCTCATAATTATTTCTCAGTAGCTCACTATTATTATTCAAAAGCTGGACGAACATTCACAATTTGGTCACGTTTCCAAAAAGTACATACATTTGTAAAGTACCTTTGCCAGGTTACATCAAACTAGCAAGATAATTTTGACATCCAATAAATATCTGAAAAAAAATATGGGAAATAAATGTGACCCTCATGGAAACTAAGTAATGTGTTGTAATGCCAATGTGTTTTGTCTACAGAGATATGCTTGGAAGCATGAGATTGGATTAGGTCTTAGTTCATTTAGGAAACAATTATCCCCATCCTACTCTGTTTGACCAGATTCCCACCAAACCTGCCATTCCTGCTTTTACTTGTTATACTTGAATTCATGTATTGCTAATTGAACTTATTACTTGGCGTCCTATCCTCCATAATAGAATGCCTCCAGAGCAGGAAATGCTCTATAAATATGATATATGAATTGTTTTGAATAGGGAAAAAATACAGTCATTCTCTAGAATTTCATTAAAATATGGTCATTTTCTCGAAATCATTCGACCACAATCCAAGACTGGTAGCGTAGTTCTGGCGGGAGGTGTTCTCGAGATATAAACTAACTTCAGTAAACCTGAGCATCCCCCTTTCTCCTCATACCGAAAGTGGCCTGGATAGACTATGTCTACCTAAAAGACCTATTCTGTCCATCTCATTGATAGTTTATCCAGTGCCACCCAAGAGTCAGCAATCCCCACACTTGAAGTCACATATTTGTAAATACTCACAGGCTGGTTGATGGATATGAAAATCTGTGGAAAGTGAAGTATCTTGCACGTCTGCAAAAAGAATATGTGGAAAACTTTGTTCTAAAAGTTGCTATTGGTAATGGGCCTTGGAATCTCCAGGAATTTAACTTTCAAGGGACTCTGATTTATTTATCATCACATCCTCCCACACATCCATTTGAATATTAATTAAACAAACAAACAAAAAACCTTCACAATAGTCTAAAACTTTAGTTTAGAATAACTGCTCTTACTGTCTACAGGGTTTGTTTGGTTTTGGTTTTGGGTTCTGTTTGTTTTTTGATAGGGGGAGGAGAGACTTAGAGTGAGGAGTTGTTAACCAATGGTTGGAATCTGTCAGTATGCACTTCTGGCTTTTCATTTTAGAGATTCAGAGAGCTAGGTAAAACTTCATTACAAAAATGAATGAAATGAGTAAATGCCATGTTTAATCAATTATATATAACTCAGGTGTTTACTTTTTAAAATTTTTCATCTCAGGGATAACAAACACTTTAAAACCTAAAGTTTGTCTGTTAGATCCGTGGTAAGTTTCCAGGCCACCATTTCAGGAACTGAAAGTAAATGTTTGAGGGCTGAAATTTAGCTGAAATATTTATTGTCTTTGGAGCCAGTTACACCTGTTAAAAGGCTCTCAGCCACCTACAGAGCATTTGGAAGTGTGTGGAGTGTTGCAGGTTATTTCAATGACTGGGAAGCTTGCTGGCATTTAGACGGAAGGGATCAGAACTTCAAGGTCCCTGAAATCCCACATCACAAAGAATTGTCTTGTCCAAATTGCTGATATTATCTTTGCAGATAAATGTGATATGGCATGCACTCACTCACTTCAGAAGCATCATGCATATTCACTACCCTGTGTGACTTTAAGAAACTGGCTTTAGATTTTAGTTTTATCATGTGATGAATCAAAAATGAAATAACTAGATCGTAGTTGTCAATGCTAGCTGCACATCAGAATTTCTGGGAAGTTTTTAATTGGGGACCTACTCCATACTAATTGAAATAAAATGTACGGACCTAGGCATCTGTATTTTTTTAAACACCCCAGAACCACTACATTTAGATATTTGAATTGTCTAAAATGCACGTTTGATATAGCCCCAACAAAGCTTACAGTAAACTATGTGATACTAAGATATAGGATCATTAGTTGTCTAGGTTTGAGTCGACTTTAAAATTTCAGCTGCTCAGTGGATGTCTGAATTCTCTCCAGAGCATTTCCACTTAGTTGTACAGCCTTTGCCAGAAGGGATATCACCTCCAGTGATAAAGCAGTTATATTTCTGCACTGGTTATGGTGCCAGAAAACTTGGCTTGCATTAATACAAGTTCTCAAAAACACAGAATCAAAGGTAAATAGGAATAGTACCCAACAGAAAAGAGAACCAAGGTGAATAGTGTGTGGGCACAGCGTCACACAGCCACTGAGAGACATAGGCACGTGTGCACACTGAATTCAGGCTCAAGATGATCCGACAGTGATCTAACACATTATTACAACAAAATCCCTAGGCATTCTTAGGTGGACTGACACCATAAATATGCAAGGGTGGTGCAAACACCTCAGTGATAACTTGTGACCTGAATAGGGAAGGAGAGCTGTCTGGGCTAACCAAAACACCAGCCTCACCTGTAGATCTCATTTTAGGAACTGTGGTCATGTTCCTTATGTTGCCCTTCTGGCAACAGTGGTATTAATCTTACCTGTGAATTCCTAAAACAGTGATAAGGTTTGACTCTGTGTCCCACTCAAATCTCATCTTGAATTGTAATCCGCATGAGTTGAGGGAGGGACCTGTAATCTCCACATGTAGAGGGAGGCAAGTGATTGGACCATGGGGGTGGTTTCCCCCATGCTGTTCTCATGATAGCAAGTGAGTCCTCACAAGGTTTGATGGTTTTATAAATGTTTAGAAGTTCTTCCTTCACTCCTGTCCACTGCCACCTTGTGGAGAAAGTACCTGCTTCCCCTTCCACCATGATTGCAAGTTTCCTGAGGCCTCCCTAACTATACAGAACTGTGAGTCAAACCTCTTTCCTTTATTAATTACCCAGTCTCAGGGAAGCTCTTTATAGCAGTGTGAAAGTAGACTAATACAGGCAGTGATTTTATAGAATTTCATGAGACTCTTGAACCTCATCCAGATCCTCCATATGTGAAACTCCTGTGAAATATTGGGGAGAGGAAAGTCGGCTGAAGCAGGACTGACTTTACTGCTCACAGATTCTGGGGGCTATGGGATCATTCCAACAGCTCCTCTGAAGTCAGTGAATCAACTTTACTGAACAGTTGAATTCCAGGGAGGCTCTTTTCCACTCTGCCCCACTCACTACATAGACCAGCCTCCCAGTTGTGCCTGTGTGTACACACACAGATCCATCACACTGCGGTGTATAATGAGAAATGCATCCAGGGTCAGGGCATTCAGACCTGCCTCTATCTTAGGGGACATGCTGGGGACCAGTTGGTGGAAGGTGGGGTCAGAAAATTGCCAGCAGGCACGAAGTGACCTTTTTCCTTGCTGTCTTTTCCCTGTAACTTAAAGCTGTTCAGCGGGCACCCAGTATCCAGGATGCACCTCTCTCTTAAAGCATAGAACATAAACTTGGGACTATAAGTTAACAAAGATGGTGCCCAAAACCTCAGAAAGAGAATCCCCAGCATTATCCCCTTTGATCCTGTTGCTTGCATTATTTTTGTTGTATTAAGCTGTTTCTGAAAGAGGAACAACGAGGCTTCTTCATTCACCAAGAGAGAAAAGACCCTCAATTATTAAGACAAGGCGTTGTCTTTTGTTTGGACCTTTGAAGCGGTGCTATTTAAACATCACACTAAACTCAACTCAACAGAGCAAGCCTTATTCTAGAAAATTCTCTTGTATGCACATTCTTGGCCATAGGAAGAAGTGTCTTCTTGTTAATTTGGCCTAGATCTAAGAAAAAAAGGAATTCAGTTGGCTATTTTTAAGCATAAGTAACTAAACTCATAAAACAAAGGAAAATTCAGTCCTGAGCCTGGAATGTGTTTTGGCCTGCATTCTCTAATCTTCAACTTTAGTTTGTGTGGTAGAATGGGATATACTTATTTAATTAGCTGCCAACGACGTTCGGACTGTCAATTTGGTAGCTCAGCCTTAATTCCAAGTATTCATGCAGTGTTTGTAACTGCATTCTGATAGAACTACAGTCCAGTTCATCTAGCAGAGTCATACTTTGTGTCAGACACTATAAGTGAATGTAGAGATTGAAGAGAAGGTAGTGGAGAATGTACCAGAAAGAAAAGTCGACCATTTATTGAACTACTGGGACATGGTACAGTTAAAACATAGTATGCATGAAGACATAACTGCTTAAACCCTAGTTGTAAACCAATTAGGTCTAATGAAAGATAGAAAACTTTCTGCGGTTTTAATTTTGATCTGGTTTTCGATAGGTAAAGTAATATCATTCACATTTTGATGAAACACATTTCATGGGTAGGTCCTGATGTTCTCAGCAGTCTACTTGTAGAATTTCAGATAAAAACTCATACAAAATAGAATGTTTCATGGCCTGGAGATGGCAGAACACCTTTGTAGTTACAGTAATAAATGTGGGAATATCTTAAATGCTTCTGAACTGTACTTTTGTGTTGATCAGTTGAGAGAAGGGAAAGTGGTAGTGGCTGTTTTTCATGTTTGCCATTTTGAAAGTGTGTGCAAATCACAGAATCTCTAAAGGTCCTTTCCATGTAACTTAAATACATTTTCATCCATGTCTTCCCTGCTTAAATGTGTATTTTCTGTACTCACTGGCAGTTCTAGCCTGTGTCTGTCCTAGTGAAGTTATGGGTAGTATTTTAAATATTTCTGGGGAACCTTTTGAGTAGAGTACTGTTATAAACCACTTGATCAAAAAATAAGAGCAGCAAATATAACACCTTTTAGATGTAAAGAGAAACCTCAGAAACTTCTACCTTGCACTGCTCGCTGTTAAGCCAGGCCATGTTGTCCTAAAGAGCCCCATCTGATCTTTTTATATCCCACATATTTATGATTAATAAACTTAAGTCTATTGACATTTCCTGATTATTCAATTTCACTGTTACCATTATAAAAC